TGAGCCGCGGTGCCGCCGGGGGCTGGGAGGGAGAGAGGGAGGGAGCGAGGGTCTCACCCCGGCAAGGGCTGGAGGGAAAATCCCAAAGGGCAGAGCGTTAGGGCAAGGAACTGAGTGGCCGCCCCCTCTCGCCGACTGCAGGGCTCGGGCGCGCTGCGCTCGCGGGTCCCTCCTGTCTTACGCCGCGGTAATGAAGATGTATGTCACAGTCAAGGTTATCATCAGATGTTACCGGCTGCAAATGTTTCGTGTGTCTCAGCTCGTGTGGCTGCTGCTGAGAGGTTAGCAGCAATACAAGGGAGGGTAAGGCAAAGCTCTGGCAGTGAAGTTTTGTGAAAAAGCATTGCATTTCAATGCATTTCAGTTCGTTGCAAATTGGTTTTCTGGTTTCATACGGTGTTTTCCTAGAGATCCTGATATTCAGACTTCAGCATCTGAAAGGAACATGTCAGAAAACTGCCTATAAATCTAAAGGGTAGCTCTTGATACGGAAAGAAATTTGCAGGTGTATCTCAATAGTAAAATTACAATCTCGTCTATAAATGAGCACTCCTCTGTTTCAATCTTCTGCTTTAAGCACAAGTAAGGAACCCCTGCGGGTGTCTGCCTGATGATCTGCACCAAGAAATTAATCATGCCCTGAAATTGCAGCTAAGCAGTGTGCAGGGAATTCCTAACCTATAGCTCCTTATTTCAAACGAGAATTTTATACTAAGCCTGAAACACTTGTGTTTAATGGTCTTTTCCTGAGTTCAAGCATGAAGATGAGCCGCGGTGCCGCCGGGGGCTGGGAGGGAGAGAGGGAGGGAGCGAGGGTCTCACCCCGGCAAGGGCTGGAGGGAAAATCCCAAAGGGCAGAGCGTTAGGGCAAGGAACTGAGTGGCCGCCCCCTCTCGCCGACTGCAGGGCTCGGGCGCGCTGCGCTCGCGGGTCCCTCCTGTCTTACGCCGCGGTAATGAAGATGTATGTCACAGTCAAGGTTATCATCAGATGTTACCGGCTGCAAATGTTTCGTGTGTCTCAGCTCGTGTGGCTGCTGCTGAGAGGTTAGCAGCAATACAAGGGAGGGTAAGGCAAAGCTCTGGCAGTGAAGTTTTGTGAAAAAGCATTGCATTTCAATGCATTTCAGTTCGTTGCAAATTGGTTTTCTGGTTTCATACGGTGTTTTCCTAGAGATCCTGATATTCAGACTTCAGCATCTGAAAGGAACATGTCAGAAAACTGCCTATAAATCTAAAGAGTAGCTCTTGATACGGAAAGAAATTTGCAGGTGTATCTCAATAGTAAAATTACAATCTCGTCTATAAATGAGCACTCCTCTGTTTCAATCTTCTGCTTTAAGCACAAGTAAGGAACCCCTGCGGGTGTCTGCCTGATGATCTGCACCAAGAAATTAATCATGCCCTGAAATTGCAGCTAAGCAGTGTGCAGGGAATTCCTAACCTATAGCTCCTTATTTCAAACGAGAATTTTATACTAAGCCTGAAACACTTGTGTTTAATGGTCTTTTCCTGAGTTCAAGCATGAAGAGATGAGAGTAGACAGCTGAAAAGTGTAGTGCATTAAAAGTATCAGAAATCAGCAGGA